AGGCTAAATTGATATATCAGTAATTGTTTGTAAAGTGTTTGTGCAGTGCAGCCATGTCTCTCTGCGTTTGCGTGTGTGTGTAGCCGTTGAGTCCTTCTGTAAAGAAAGACCGAGCTTTCGTTCTCCATGCCCCTGGCCCTCAAGTTTCTTGTTTCGTTTCTCAACGAGAAACGGAGCTGAATTGCCAGCAGCGCAGAGCTAGCATCTTGAGATTCGCAACACCCTCCCTCAGCACGACGGCTCGGGCACCAAGAAATGCCAAGAATATGACTTCTGTATGCCAGACATCATCCCTCCCCATCAACAAGTCCTCTAGACGATTCTCCCCATCAAAACTGTTGATTTTCTCAAGAACCCACAACAGTGATCGGCATGAGCCACCATGGTCTCAATGCCATCGAGGCAATCGTCACAACATGACAGCCAGGCATTTCCTCCTGCGCCATCTAGCGATTGCCTCGCTTTGTCTCATGGCGGCTCCTGTTCTGCGTGGTCTCGAAAGTAAGCCGAAGCTGAACGGACGGACTGTCAAGTTGGCCAGCATCTCAGAGGGAGCGAGAACATGTCGGTGCAGTGCTGCCGCCAGCCCAAGGTGGAGTATCACCAGGATCGAGGCCGATGGGAAGTTGAGCTTGACGGAGAATTGCCCCCGACTGAATTGTTCCAGATCGAAAATTGGCTGGCAACAGAACTGCTGTGCTTTTACTTGTCTGCTGTTGCTTTACACTTTCATGCAGCTGAGCAAAAACCATAACTTATTCTTTGAAAAACACGGTAATGTTGCACCATCAGCTGGGTCAGTGACGCATGTGCAAAACTCACTCATTGGTGTGTGTGAAGCGAAACCTCCAAGAACTGGAATGACGACTGGTGGGAGCCCTGCGACGGCGAGAGTGAGTCTTTCAAGACCCTGTGCGGCCAAAAAGGACGGGCAGAGCGAAACATGCCTGTCGACTTGTTGCAGCTTGTATTCTCAGCCACTCCGACGCGGACATCAAAAACTGTGAAGGACCGACCCCGACCTTCAAAGAAGAGCTGGATGGAAAGCTGCGGAAGCTGAAACTTTTGGAGTCAACGGCAAAAATCTCGGCCGCCTGTCTGGGACTTTCTGTCACAGCAAGCTTCCACCATATCTTGCCCTTGCAAGGCCGTAGACTGCAACGGCAGGAACGTTTGCGTCTTCAATTCTGATGGAAGCGTCCTGCAAGAGCTGCAGAAGAAACACATTCCTCGGAAAGTTGACACCCCGAATGCGACTTTGGTGCATTCCATATTTGGGATCTTGTGGTACGCATGATATATCATGATATCGCGCATGTTCAGAGACGAGCATTTGCCAAGGTTGGTAGCTCGCAGATGTATGTACCCGTGTTCGTTTGCTTGACCCGGGGTGGTGGAGTTTCATGATTTGTGCCAAGCCCGTGCCTGATCCATGCAAATGCTCAGGAAGTTTGCCAAAGGAGTTTCCCTTTGCACTTCCAAAGAAAGGCGGTGGAAGGAAAGACCTTGGCCATCAGGCCATCTTCCTTGAATGTGCGAGAGGATCGGTGCCCGGGATGCTACTGGCAGCAGGCTATTTCCCTGCTCTCTTTTGGCATATGATCCTCGTATGGCTGCAAGCTTTCAATTTGTTGAAGTTGGCATCCCATGTACTGAAGAAGCCTCTAGACTCTAAACTTCGCAGCAAAACTTCCAGCGCTCCAGGACGACACTGCAAGCAGATTGAGACAGAAGAAGGCGCCAAGCTGTGCATCTGACACTGCAGCACGCTTCGTTCTAGAGGTTCTGATAGCACACGTGAGAGGTTGAGATGTGCGTCGGGATCCTTCATCGAAAACCGGAGCTGGACGGGCAAGTTGGGTGGCTGGGACCTTTCCAAGCGCGCCTCGACGTTGTGAGTTGCCGGGAATGTTGAACAAGTCCATCAGCTCTCGCTTTTTTGCGAGAATATCCCAGTCAGTGACGAGAACCCACATGTCGAGGCACACAAACCGCTGGGAAGTACTGCCAGATGCACGCGGTCTTTGGGACGTCAAGGTGACGTGTTGCTGTCGGGTAGTGAATGAATTAAGTTAGCGCACACTGAACCGTGCTTCCAAGGTGGATGGCTCGGCAACGGCAGTGCAACTGTCATCCAGTGAAATTCGCGATGAGGTGAGCTTGGGCTTAGCATGACCTGATGTCTCTGGACAGCAATGGGCACGATGCCGATGTCATGGGCATCGAGAGGCCTCTGGTGATGGGATCGCAGATCCGATTCGTGTGGGCATGTGGCCAAAACGTGACCAAGAACGGGCTTTGTATGCCAATGTGTCTAAGACGAAATTGGCCACACTGGACAAGTTGTCGCCGCTTGTGCTGTGTAGCATTGGGTAGCCAAACACATCCCCGACACTAGTAAGGTAGCATTTCGGCAGGGCCAAATAATCATGGAGGAGGAGCCAGTTCTTGTCGGAAACACTGCCGAAATAGTGAAGTTGACACCTGGCCTGCACGAATTGGACGCACGAAAGGTCGGCGAGTTCGGCTTTCAATGAGAGCCTTCTAAACCGGAGTCGTACCTGGCCGCCGGCAGTTTTCAGTGTCTGCTGCTGCATGCAGTGGAATGTGTAAGGATGCAGCAGTCCGAGAAGCTTTCACCGGAACAACGGGAGCAGCTCAGTCAGCTGAGCCAGGCAAGGAGATGACTTGATTCCCGTGTAGAAAAGCGATGGTCTGGCGTTGAATGGCAGGGCGCAGACTTCGTGCGAAGCGGTCGCTCTGCCGGAAGTAGGACCAGCTGCACATTCAGATGAAGTCGCTTCCAGGGATTGGCCAGCCAGACTAGTCAAGGCCGTGACGGGAACGAGAAAGTCACGGAAGCGGACTTCCTGACAGTGTTCAATGGCGACGGCGTTTTGGCTGGAATTTGCGGTTGCATGTCGAGCAGAATCCGCGGTTGCAGGCAGCAGACGTCTAATGCTTCAGTGATTCAGACAGCTAAGGGAGCGAGGATTCCAGAAGCTCGGCTGATAAAGGCGGTATGTATTGTGGTCCCTGTTTTGAGATTCGGATTTGCGGCGAGACAAACCGAAAAGAGGCGTAAAGCCAATAAAAGATTGCCGGCAGCTACAGGATCAGCTATAAAGCACGGGTTGTGGCTGTCATGAGTATCCCTTCCTTCACTTATGCTGGAGGACCTTGGCGTGCCAAGGTGGGACCTCGACATTCAAAACGAGAGTGGAGAGAACCAAAGGGCATGCCCCGCAACCGCAAGGCCACGAGAAAGGAAGAAAGCTTTGAACGGGGTGTCCGAGCATTGGAATCCAATGCCCAAGCCTAAAGAGTAGTGAGATTTGAGAGGCAGAAAACGTCAAGGACGACGGAGCATCGAGAAATAGGTTGACCCCAGAGACAAGCTGGCTGCGTCGAAACGCCAGGTTTGTTGAAGTCCGTGTTCTCATTCATGAGGACATCTGCCTGTTCAAGTCGACAAGTCATGCCGTGATCTTTGGTTTCGGAAAGCCTTCGGAGGACCTTCGTCACGAATTCTTTCTGGCACCACCGAGCCGGAGCGAGAGGGCTATATTTGCAGCTCGCAAGAGTGAATCACTCATGCAGGCCGGCCAGCTTTCAGCCTTTCTAAGCCAGGAGTCACAATGCTCATGTCATTCTGCTTCGGCTTTGCAAAATACAGGCCAAATGCCGTCATAGGCGAGCCGAAAGCTGTCTCTCAGCCGCAAGTAGCGCAAAGTTGCTTCAGCGGCTGGGTGGGTTTCAATGACAAAAAAAACTGAGGGCTGGCTGAAAGCAAAATCGCTTCCGTTGCTGAGGAGTGGGATGCAAAGAGGTTGCCGAATGGCATCAAGCCAGCAGACCCACTCAAGAAGGCCGCCCCCGCCCATCACTGGCCTGTTATTGCAAAAGCAGCGAATAGTTCGTTGCGAAAGCATGCAGGCTCTCATTGCTATTCGCGACATTCAACAAGGCGCGCTGCTTGCGTGCGCACCAGTACTGGTGGACCAAGCCATCCCACCCAGGTGAAGAAATCACCATCGGCTATCTAGGTGACACGGCAGCAGCACCCACAAACTTGCAAAGCTTGCCGTCGGACTCGTTGCCCACCGTGCGGTCCTTTCCTAAACCGGCGGCTCGAGGCGACGATGAACTTCTGCAGCCATCCCACATTCGTCGCGAGATGCTTGAATCCAGCTCCTGGTCCTGGTCCTGTTCCAGTGTCCTTGCTCGGGTCTTGGAGCCTGGCTTGCAAAGGCTATGGATTCAATTGCATATGTCATCGCTGCATCGACGAGGCGCGCTGTCGTTACAGAGTTCACATTCAAGCACAGCATCTCGCAGCTTAGTGCAGCTCATTCCTCTTGCTCGCAAGATCTATGGCATTCGGCAGCTGCCAGGACGATGATGGACTGCTACGCACCTTTCGATGTGCCAACTGCGGCGGCGGGATACATGCTGGGACACGTTCAGGCCTGGGGTGAGTAGAGTACATGTCTGTGCACGCCTGCCAATTCTCCCGCTTGGCGGACATCACGAGCCGGAGTATTTCTCAGAGAACGGCAGGCCCACACGAAGAGGTTTCACAAGACACTCGCAAAAGTTCCTCCAACATGGAGTGCTAAGGTTTTTTTTGCTGATGCGGCATGGGCCCCCCAACTTCTGGAACGTTCGAGACATATGCCCAGCACCCGCAGACTCGGAAGCGTTAGCGAAGTGATCGAGCTCGAGCTGCTGGCATCTTGCAGCTGTGCCATTTGCGCAGTGGCAGAAGAAGCACATCCGTCGCGGGAGGAGTGCAGCAGCATTGTCAGCATGGTAACATCGGATTTGCGCACGCTGCCCTCCTGAGCCCTCCTTGGCTGTTGTTTTAATGCGAGGAGTTTGCCAGTTGCCCGAACACATGATTGCAAGTCACCCCGCAGCTATGGGAGTCCAAGAGTTTAGTTCCGGAACGCTCGGATTCTCTATCGAAGCCGAGCCATGAGATGGCGAATGCTTTGGGTTTGGGTGCATCTTGCTCTTGTAGCGGGTGAAAGTGAAGGTCCAAAGCCTTTTCCGTCTGTGTCGCCAGATCTCTGGAGTGTGGGCCTTGAAAACGACGGTGGAATGTCACTGCGTAGGGGCCGCACAGGAGTGCTGTTGTGAAAGAGGTGTTGTAAGCTTGCGTTTTACGGGCTCGTAAACAGCTTGCATAAGCCAACTTTGTTCCAGGAGATGCAGTGGCATGGGGCAGCTTCCAGGACGCAATCAATTCCACAGGATGGGCAGTCCTTGATGTGCATACAACATCCCGGGCAAGTGGGAACACGCAAAGCTATGCTGCCGGATACCTGGAAGGTGCACTAACTCACGCCCGCATCACGCAACACTTGCAGAATATGTGGGGTGTGGACTTCAAAGGCTATGCAACAGGCACAGTCCCTCAGAAAGTTCGCGATTTCGTGTCGGCGAACATGGAATGGATGGTAAACCAGGTGAAAGGCAATCCTTCCGATAACTATTGGGTCACAGTCGGCTACTTGCTGGCACAACTTCACGGTCTTGCTGATGGGTATGAGGCTGCACGAGACCATCAGCAAGGTGAGCTGCCGGTGACGGTCGAAGACATGCTTATGCTTGTTATGGTGGACACCGACATGGATGACGTTGTCACGGCGGTTGTGGCCGAGGGTCATTTCATCAACGAGCACTTCCTGCACCGACGCCACAAGCGTCGGCACAGGATGTTTGATCCATTCCCGGAGTTTTTTGAAGTCAGTAGAAGGCATCATGGGCACTGCAGTGCACTGGTGCAGGTAGCGCCGAACTTCGAAGACTTGTGGGTCTCCCACGCAACATGGGACGAGTACCGGGGCATGCTCCGAATTATCAAGTACTTCGATATGCCACTGCCTGGCACGGCAGTGCAGCGCATGGCCTTCACAGCAGATCCAGGCGGATTGTACAGTGCCGATGACTTCTATGTGCTGGATTCTCAACTGGTCGTGATGGAAACAACCATCGACAACTATAACAGGTCGTTGTGGTCAAATGTGAAGCCGGAGACTCTGATGACCTGGGCAAGGGCCATGGTAGCCAATCGTCTTTCGACGAATGGTGCTGAGTGGACCACATATCAAGTTCGAGATAACAGCGGCACCTGCAACAACCAGTGGATGGTTGTCGATTACAAGCGCTTCGTACCTGGTAGTGAATTGAAAGATGGGGTGCTGTGGATCTCGGAGACAATGCCTGGGCACTCGCAGACGGGCGATGTGACCCATGTTCTGCGAAACCAACATTCGTGGCCGAGTTACAACATACCTTTCTTCACGCACATTTGGAAGGTTGGCGGTTATGAACACTTGCAGACCAAGAGTGGTTCGGATGACTTCAGTTTCGAGCAGTGTCCGCGAGCTAAAATGTTTGAGCGTGCCCGCAAGCAGGGCTTCGGGAACTCTCTGGAGTCATTGATGGCTCTGATCAGATACAATCGCTTGGGTGATCCCTTGGCACTTGGGGATGCCTGCAATGCGATCAGCGCAAGATGTGACCTCAATCCGCAGAAGCACGTGAGCTACGACTGTTTCGGGGCGATTGATGCAAAGGTCGCAAGCTGGAGATCGAACAGACACGACCTTTCCTTCCTGGCAGCCCCTTGTCGTTGCAATGGCCGGCTTTGTGTGGTTTCTTAGTTTGCTTGTCCACACTGGGGTCGTTAAGACTGAGGTCTCCTCACCAACACGAAGCAACGGTGAGCAACCGTTCGCTTGGAGCCGGGTGAACCACAAGCTCGACGGCTGCAAGCCTGAGAACCACATCGGGCACCCAGATACTTTCGACTTCAATTGGTACAAGATGCCTGCAAGCTGGCCTTCAACAGAGACTCCCAGTCTTCTAGCAGTTTCTGAGCACGGCACACGGCTCCAGCTGGAACAGACAGCAGCCGTCATGTTCAGCAGCCTAGCCTGCATGTTGTTCTTTGTATGCATGGTTCGAACAGTATGTCGGCAGACAGATGGTGGCCTTCCAGCCTCTCTTTATGAGCCGCTGGACGCTTGATCTTCCCTGCCAAGCGCAGGTCTGACAATGGCATGCAGGATGAGCCATGTCAATGTAAACTTGGCGACAGTCCTGCACGAAACCCATTGCAGCCTGAGGTTACCACGACATTGAAGCGACAAAACGTCGTAATTCGTCCTTGCACAGGCCAGGTGAGCCCGAGGCTGGAACAAAGGCAGTCCGCCTCGAGAGGCCTTACTTGGCTGCATTCAAGCTGAATGCGAGGCCCTGAGCCCCCCAACTCGGATCAATGCCTGTGCATTGATCAGGGGCACGGACCTTAAGACTATGACGTGCTTCGCAAAAGACAGACGCTAGAGAGCTTGATTGATCACTGTCCGACTCGCAGCCCAGCCCGGAACTTGATCAAACTGCCTCTCATAGCATGGTATTGTATGCATTGTGCAGGCCTTGCACCATGCAATGCTTGTGGATCGCCTGCCGGGGAAGCCGGGAAACTGGCAGCAGCCGAGCAAGAACAGGAAGCGTGGCTAAAAGGGACAGTCAGTTGGAGACAGAGGTTGATTGTCTGGTGTTCCCGTTGCAAGTTGCTTTCGAAGGAACGCATCTTTGCCGACCACTGCAAGTGGCTTCACGAAAGTGTACTTTTTGTTGCCAAAAGCGTGCAAGTTTCTATTGCAGAAGAATGTGCAGACTAGATGCCTGCACTGTCGTGTCAATCGCGACACTTTGATGAGGCTGATCTCCGAAAAACGGAAAGATCCAAAGTGGCTGATCGACATGGCCAAGATATGCTCTGAAATTGGGTTGGCCACTGACCACTGGTTGCTTTGCAAGGCACAATTCGAGTTTGACAGCTTGCTGGCCTGATACCATAGAATCCAAACTGGGAGCTTTGCTTGTTCAGGTGCATCACATGCAGGCATGCTTCTTCGCCCAGGCTGGTGAGGCTTCCCGAGCTGTCGAAACTCGGTCGTGCAGACATGGTCAAGTAGGCACAACTGAGGCGTTTAAGCCTTTTGCGGAATCGGTGTGTGCCTTTTGGGCTTCCTGCAGTCCTACCGTCGAAAACGTGATTGTGCGTGGCAACCCTTTGCTGTGAAACGGGCGAGCAGCCGGAATGATCGCATCTTAGGGCCTTATACCGCAAACAAGCCACATGGGTGCACGTCAGGAAAGCCTGGTTGGAATTCTCCACTTGCACGAGAAAGTGTTTGGATCTATCAGTCTTCAGAAGACGGAGTTGCTGGCCGACCAGCTGCTGCAGCAAGGCGATGCTGTAAAGGCCCGGAGCTAGCTTATGCCACTTGTTTCTTGTCTCCTCCGGGCTTCAGAGCTCCGATCCTGCTTCTCTGCTGTGATCGCGTTTCTGTTCCTGGGCGTTTCTTTCTGCCTGTTTTTGCTCGTCGTTTTCTACATGTTCTTGCCTTTGCTTTTCCTGCTTTTCCGCTTCTTGGATCGCCAAATGAGGGGGCGGGAAAAAGAACTAATAAGAAATGTGATCAACCGGGATCGCCTAATGAGGGGGATTGTTTAGAATATGTGATCAACTTGGATCGCCAAAGGAGGGTTGTGCTTAAGATATATGGTGAACCGGGGTCGCCAAAGGAAGTGGCGAGTTTAAGCTATGTGATCAACCGAAATCGCGAAATGAAGCGGCGTTATCACGATGTGTGTTGAATCAGGCTTCCAAAGGGGCTAAGAAAGGTGATCAACCTGGATCGCCGAATGAGGGCGGTGCTTAAGGATTGTCATGACTCGGGATCGCCAAACGAGTTTAAGAAATATGATCAACCGGGATCGCCAAATGAAGCGGCGTGTTTAAGACATGTGAGCAACAAGCGATCCTCAAGAAGGGGAGTGTGTAGACGTGGATCGGCAAATGAGGGGTCGTTTTCAAGATGTGTGATGAATCGGGATCGCCAAAGGCGATCTGGATCGCCGAATGATGGGGGTGTTCAAGATGTGTGGTAAGTTTGACCCGCCAAAGGAGGGGACGTGATCAGCCGGGATCGACTAATGACATAGCGTGTTTAAGATGTGCGATGAATCGGACTCGCCAAAGGAGCGGGCGAGTTTAAGATATGTGAGCAACAGTGATCGCCTCCTGCAGGGGCATGTTTGAGATATGCGATTAACCGGGATCGCCACAGAGGGGACGTCTTTAAGATATCGTGAGCACCACATGAACTGCCGTCACGTTTCGTGTCGTGAAATGCGAACAATAGCTTTTGCGTATTCACCCCCACCCTAGACCCTCCGGTTTCGTGTCGTGACGCAATTTAGTTTTTGCCAACGAAGCCTGACGTTTGGCGGCGTGAATTGCGGAAATGGTTGGGTTTTTGCGTACCAAACAGGATGCTGTGCGCGCCTTAGACGGGCGTTTTGCCGTGTGCGCCTTACACCTTTTACCGAGCGCCTTAAACCCGGTGGCCTACGTCCAAAGGAAGACCGTAAAGCGTTTCCCCCAAGTACTGCTGCGATTCAAGGTTCTCCACAGGCAAGGGTGCTGCATATCTCGTCATTTATCATGAGTTTCGCCTCCAGCACATAGAAGCCTATGTAGATGACAAAGAGTATGCACCGCACCACAGCAGGAGACACGAGCAGCTAGCATCCTGTGTAAATAGTGGATGCACGGACCAGATCTGCACCACGTGCTGTTAATAACAGGATGCTGGGAGTTGGCAAAAGTGTGAATAACGTGTTTTGCAGCAGAAGTTCACCTGGCCATAGTTGCAGCTGCGTTGGGAAGCAGAAAAGCCAACAAAAAATTGAAACTTGTCGTACCTGAACTAAATGCCAATACTATTCCTTAGAGTTCCTTGGTATAGTTGTCGAAGTATAGAACAACAGCAAAGCCGCATCCTAGCCATGAAGGCCCCTCGGCCCTACAGCCCTAAGCCCTAAAGCCCAAACTCTGACAACTGGCCCTGCGAAACAAGCATTTGCTTTCCGAATTTCTATGCTGACCTCAAAGGACCTTCGAAGACATGGAAAAGAAGGGAAGGTCGGTTTGGGCATTTTGGTGTCGAAACTTGGATCCCAAACAGCCGCCGCTCGCAGCAAGAACCTCGCCTGGCACGTTGGACAGCATTTTTTGGAAAGGCCTCTTTGATGGAAGACGGGGACGGGGGCGAGGGAAGGGCCACAATATGAACGACGCGCGTTTCCGCGCACTCTATCCCTCAGCTCCGTGCCGTTCTTTCCGTGACCAAGCCTGTTTTCCCCACCCCAGCATTGCTCTACCCCCACCCGTCTTTGTACCCCGCAAAAAAAAACTACACGCGCGGCACCCACACACAGACGTGTGAGGTCGGGGACGCGCATGGGGTGTATGTGCTTGGTGCGCACGGCGACACTGACAGCTCGCTTTGGTGTGGGTGGGATGCGGTTGGCAATTTGATTGAAACAGCCCTTGGTGGCACAGCTGCTTTCTTGTGTGCCGCGCCAGGCGTTCGATGCATATATCTCTGTGCTCAAGGCGACGTTCAGCCACAGGAACTGCAGATATGCTTGTGTTCAATGCTCAGGTGCTGAAGCTGCGATCTCCCAATTCTCCTCCCAGCGACGAGCCGCATTGCTGAAGCATCTGAAACGTCATGCTGCAGAGAACACGAAATACATGTGTGCACAGGAGCGTGTCCGAGTATGAAGTGTAAAGTCGTAAGATTCACGGTCACTGTGTTTCGGCAGCAGCACGCCATTTGCGCCATGTGGGGATGAGGCACTGCGAGCGCGTCCGGCAAAAGCTGCGCAAATGGCCGAGTTGGATCAGCAGTACAGGGAAAGAAATGCCTGTGTTGAAGCTGAACTGATAACGGATGTTTCCTCTTGAGTCTTGACCTCGAGGCTCATCGAGAGTGAAGCTGCATGGTACCCACCCCGTCGTGTCTTCTCAGCTGAGGCGCCGCTCTTGATGGTAAGCGCAGCGACAATGAAGAGACTCGGAGTGGTGGCTATGCCTAGGCGTGATGCAGACAAAGAGCGTACGAGCTTATGCCAGCGATTCCTCCCCGAAAGTTTGGTGATGGCGCATGGTGATACCATACACCACCTTCTGTCAATCAAACATGGCGACTGCCTAGCTTTGCCTGTGGGAGAAGTCAGTCAGATCGACAAGCTGGCATGTAGCCAGTCCCGCAACCTGCCAACAAACCTACAGGAGCGCAAGGTGTGCAAGCTGACCAGCCGCTAAACCCATTCGGTTTGAAATTCGCACGGTGAAGAGCCATTTTGGCTCAGCACATGGTAGGGGTGCCTGGAGGAAAAGCAGGCGCAGCGGGTTCCCATGCAGACAGCAGCTTGTCCTTGACAGATCTTGACAGATCTTGACAGTCTTGTTACTCATTGCCCAGTGGCGATCTTCATGTCCCGCGAAGAGATTTGCAGCTTCAGGAAACCCCGGCCCGGCGCTGCGACCAGAAGAGCCCTCAAGGCTGGCCCGCAAACGCCGCGGCCGAAGCCAACGCACACTTCTCGATTGAGCCCGGCCCAGTCAGGATCCGGTGACAGTGGTGACGGGTGGACACAGTCCTCCTCGCCAACCGAGGCTGCTCGGAAGGAAGGCACAGGATGCTGCAGTTTGGCTTGGGCATGGTGTTTTGCTTCGCCGAGGTTTACGACATCGGTGCTGATTCAGAGGACGACATTGGCCACATTTCTTCGGCAGTGCGTTCGCTCGACGTTGAAGGCTGGGGCTGGGGACCTGAACCAGGGCATCAGTAGCCATGGCCTGCTTTCCAGGTGATCTTGCTTCATGGCACGAGCGGTGCCAGCCGGATGCTGGTCAATGAATGAGCATGCAAGCTCTAGTTCGTTTGGGGCAACTTGTCCTTCGAAGGTCACCATGTTCCTCACGGAAGGGCGCTAAATATGACGTGTCCACCGCCGGTCGCTCAGCCTTGCTGTTCTTGGCGCCTCGCTGCCACCTAAAGGAGAAGCATGATTTCTCAACCAAGGCTGCCTCCAGTTGCAATGCAGCGGAGGGTCTCACGGCCTCGAGCAAGGCCTGGCAGAGCGTGCGCACAAAGGGAGCATCAATTTACTTCGTGGGGAAGGCCGAAGACCAAGCTGACGCTTGGAATGTCGAGGCATCTCAGAACTCTTTTGGTTAGGATCCTGCGGATCCTCGTGGCCCGGCACTCATTGCAGGACTGGGATTCCCACCTTGCCCAGCTGCGCGAGGCGGGCCGGCAGTCGGGTGAGAGGAAACACACACGCACACGTCATCATCATCACCATCATCATCATCATCATCAAAGTATGGACAACAATATTGAAATCAATATTCTGTCAGTGGCAGCCGCCGCTGGACACTACGAACAATGGATAAAGCATAAAGCCGTCCACTCTCCGAACATGTTGACCAAATGACCGGCAAATCAAAAATCAGCGGAGGAGTCAGGAAGCGGGCTCTGGCTCTGACAAAGCTTCGGATCCACCAAGCAATTTAAATCGCCAGGGTCGCTGCATCTCGATTTTGTGCATGCGCAGTGAAGCCCCACTCGAACTCGAAGCTTCACGGGCTTCGCCATCGGTCGTTGCAGAGCTTCACGTCCACGGCGTTGTCGGAGTTTGTGGGCTTCTGTGAGTCTGCGATGTCGCCCTTTGATATTGTATGTTGGGAGTTACCAGCTGCCGCGAGCATCAGACCATATCAGACCTGTGCTAGCAAATTGGGGCTTGTGTGTTGGTGTCCAATATTTGAAAGCTATCGCTATGTTCGTGAACGCTCGGGAACACGGAGCTCAGATTTCGCTGATTTTCTTGGGCAGGTTGCCACCCCTTGCAGAGCTTCTCCCAATGCAAAGCTTAAGGCCAGAACAATCGCTTTGTCCGTTAGCATTCCTGGTGAGTAGCTCAGGTGGCAGATACTGTGAGAGCAGAACTACAGGCATGAAAGTTTCCACTGTGGATGCTGGCTACATCAGCCGCTGTTCTGCAGGCAGACGTGGAGCTGCTGGTCCAAGAGGCAATGGATGAAATGCGATCATGGCTTTCGCAGGACCCTACAGCACCGCAACGCAAAGCTGTCTCTCAGCACGAGGAAACTAGACACTGCCGTGCTTTCGGGCCAAACTTCAGGAAATCGCCTTTGCCAGACGCAACCTCGAAGAGGACCGAAAGCATAGTCGTGTGAATTCATCGAAGGAACTGCCAATGATTTCTCCATCGCATGTCGTAGTCAGATCTCTGTAGCGAAGGAATCTGTGACTAGTCTGTGCATGAAGGAGCACACTTTTGTTGGCCTGAAGCGAGGTACACGCAGATAAACCTCAACCTCAGGCCAACGACGAGGCAGACGCTGTACAAGAAACAGGAGTTACTAGTAGCCTGTCTGGCCTTCAATGCAGCGAACCAAAACATTTTCCTGTCAGGTCGAGTTGTTGAAAAAACGCGTGGACGAGCAGGGGCTCGCACTGGAGAAGCTGAAGGTGCAGCTGAACAGCTCGTAGCTCTCCAACAGTGCCCGCGTGTTGCATCTCGGTAATCTCGGTCAGCTCGCAAGGAGGGCAATGATTTGGAGAAGCTACGGAAGGACTTGCAGGATCAAGCAAGGATCATCAGAAAGCCCGCCTGCTCCTGCTTCGTGCGCCTTCTTCAAGCTTCTGCCGAGCAAAACCTCTTGTCAGATTGGACGATGCTACCAGCAGCACGGATACGCGCTCGAGCACCACATCATCGGAGCGTGTCCTCGAGGTGCAAAGTGAGATGTCCAATTGAAGAATTTCGGAAAGTCTCGGACGGAAGGCTCGAGCAGTGGCTGAAGAAAGGAAATGGCGGTTGCGGCTGGAAACCTTCGAGTCCACTGTTGCAAGGCCCGTTTGCAAAACACACGGAGGTCTAGCAGCTTCCCAGTCAGACAGGACATCGCATGGCCATGTGCAGCACAAAGCCAAACCCGTCACCCGCGCTCAAAACTCCAGACGCACAGGCTGTGGAAACAGGAAACATAATCGCAGTCCTTGGCTAGCAGTAAGTAGTCCCTGGCCCGTCACTTGCCAGGAGTGTGGAGCAGCTCGAAAGCTGCAATCAAGGGATATTGGAACTGCAGGAGCGCACTGCAGCTAACGAAGCAGACCTTCAGCGAGGCCGCTCCCGACAATTGCTGCTTGTTTGTGTGTTGGTGTGTGTTGGTTGGTTGGCTGACTGCCCTGGTACGAGTGGGGAATTGTGGGCTCTTCTGCTGTCTTTCCCAAAGTCGATCGACATCGTGCGGCCGCATGTCAGCAAACTTGCATGTGGCCATTCGTGAAGCATGAGCAAACCAGCACCTCCCAGCGCGATGCCCACACAGAGGGCCGCCTCCAAGAGGGGACCACATTGTTGTCCGGTTGGACGAAAGTCGGATTCACTTCAATTCCTGTCCACTGCCTGCATCGCGGACGACGGACCTCCGTGGAAGCTTCATGGCATGTCAAGAAGGGATGGATCCCCGCGGATTCCTGCATAACGTGTATCATAACTTCGGCAGAAACCAGTACCCGGCGATCCGACTCGGTGAACTGCATGGGATGCCTGCATCGGCATGCCTAGAGCTGCCTAGAGTTGGTGGTTACAGCGTGTTGGCGGGATGAGGTTGGAAAGTACCGGTTGCAGGCTTAGGTCGGAGCAGCATGTCGTTGTATGGTGATGTATGATGCTGTCTTTGGCGCTGGCATCTTCGCACGAGCTTGCTGTGTGGTTACTGGGTGGAAGTTTCATATGCGACGCACTCACCACGGGGGGTCAGCGGGTGGGCAAGCTTCTGCTCGCTCAGGCCCACAAGAGTCAACAGCAATCATGCAGCACGGTTTTGCGCACCTGACTCGCAGGCCTATGCTCCAGCCAGTCTGCAGAGAGACAATGCGCTGAAACTGCAAAAGATGTGGGTCTGCTGCGAGCGTCTGCCGACAAGCAGGACAGACAGCCAGCCACATGCCCTTGTTTGCTGAACCCGACTCTGCTCTCAAATTTGCTAGGCCGAGGACGTGAAGCAACTGGAAAGGCAAGTGCGACGCCTAGCTGCTGAGCTGGCGGCTGCGCAGGCTTGCAGTCTTCTCAATAGGATCATTTTCCTCACCTGCCGGCAACAGACTTCCACCTCTCCCCTGCCATACTCATGACTCGTAGCGGTTAACCTTATTCTCGACGAGGACGCATCGAACGTGGCTGCAAAGCTCGCGAATGGTCATAAAGATCTTGTGAGTGCTTTGGAAGAGACGTCAAGGGAACTTGCCTCTTCGCAGAGGCAGCAGAAAGAGGAGATGCTATCTTTCGGAACAAGATTACAAGAAGTCCTTGCTGGTGTGGCTGCCTGCAAGACCGAAACGATGGCAGCACAAAGCCGGATGGATGCCGTGGCACAGCAAACCGAAGACACCTACAAGCAGGCTTTCAAGTCCGCCCACCAGATGTCCATGAACGAAGAAAAGCTTTATGCTGCCATGGAGGACCTGTCACAGCCGCGACAACTGTAGTCCATGGAGACTTCCTAGCTGGCGGCGAGCAATCTTTATAGTCCTCAAAACTGCAGCCATGACGAGGAGATGCGAGCTCAATCCCAGCAACTTGAGTCCGTGCAACCCCGCCTCAAGATCCATGAGGATTCTCTCACGCTTCTCGAAAGTCAGTGCAGTCACTTGGCAGAGGTGAAGGTGAGAAAAAGGATTCTGGATGTTGGAGCGAATGTGCTTGTAAGCTTGTGAAGGTTGCGCATTCTGCAAATGCTTGCAACATCGAGGTCAGCTGGAGTCGAAATTCTCATCCACGCATCTCGCTTTTGGCCGGAGAATGGAGAGGCTTGAGCGAGAGGAGCCTTGGCCAATCCTGTTATCCTTTGACACAGACACATTTCAAGTGAGACCTGCTGTGCTCCACGTTCCTTCAGGTGTCAACCACTGAGACGGAGCTGTCCACCATGCAAAGCTGCTTGGAGGAGCACAATGCCTCTCGACTCGGCAAGCAAGAAGGAGGAGGCTATGGAA